ATTTGTGGCTATAAATTTATTATTTTTGAATGGATTGTCTTCACACACAAACATAACAATTGTACAGACCTTTATCTTCACTTAAAAATGACCTTGATCTTGAAGGTCAAATTATTGAAATTTTCAAGATCTGTAATTACCAAGACCTTAATGTATTTCAAACGCAAATTGGCCTTGAATTGTTGAAGACCTTGACCTTGAAGGTTATATTTTTGAATTTTCCCAAAGTGTTGTTATAACTTGGTACTTAATCAATAGATTTCCTTCATTTTTGGACAAAACAACCATTTTTTCAAGACCTTCTTAAAGGTTAAATTGACCTTGACCTTCAGTGTTTAATGATCTTGGCTATTAAGGTCAGATAATTATTTTTTCTTAATTGTCACAATTTTATTTTTGTACACAGTTGAGGTATACTTGGAGAATAAAAAAATTGCTTACAAACAAACATTGGAATAATGTAAATGTTACCTTATCCTTATATTAACTGTCAAGCTTTAATCAATAAAATTATCTTGTTTTTTTCTGTAATTTGCTAAATCTTTGTTATTATGTCTCCAAAAAATTGTGTGACACATATTGGATTTGCCTTCGCCGTCTGTCTGTCCGTCTGTCTGTCCGGCTTTCATAGGTCAAACTGCTGGTGGCATTTTCAACAAACTTTACAGGAGTGATCAGTACCATCCCTTGTTGTGCATATCGTTGGCACGTATCATTCCGCTGCATAGAATGGCCACAAGAGCTTAAACTAGAAAAAAACTAGAACTGTGTCCAAAGGACACGGATGCCCCCACTGACAACATATATATGGTATATAGTGAACAAAATCAACAAAGGGCCATAATTCTATTAAATTTGGTCGCAGCAAAAATTCCTTCTTTTACTTTCATCTACACATTAAGGTTGTTCATCCCCGGAAGTTTAAGCAAACTCTGTCATCCAGTTTAAGAGGAGTTACGTTCACAAAATTTCTACATAGTATATAGTGAAACAATAAAAAAGGGCCATAATTCTAATAAATTTGGTCGCAGCGAAAATTCCTTCATTTACTACCATCTACACATTAAGGTTGTTCATCCCTGGAAGTTTAAGCAAAATCTGGCATCCGGTTTAAGATGAGATGCGTTCACAAGATTTCGGGACGTACGGACAGACGAACGGACGGACATTCTTACCAGAGCTACATTATGGGGCTTTCTTTTGTTATTTCTTTTGTTCTTTTTAAACCCACAATGCAGAAAATAAACCACAAGAGAAACGGAATGAATGACATCAAAGACATCTATTGTTATGAGAACAATAAACCAAACCCCATAATGTAGCTCTGATTTGTACGAACAGACGTAGGGACGGACAGACAAGTGCAACGCTATATGCTCCCCACTTTGTGGGAGCATAGAAATTATGTCCAGCTTTCATGTGTGAAACTGCCAGTGGGATTTCATTAAAGGTACAATAATTACCGCTGTATGAACACATCTGCCGATGTTTCTAAGTTCAAAATTTTACCATTACATGTATAAATGCATAAGCCAGTGCTAGGGGGCGTGGGCGGTAATTGGCACTTGACAATACTGTCCATGAACAGGCTCAATCAACCCCAGCCTTCAACATTTCAATTTTACCGTTTTGGGCTTTCTGTAGATATTCCTATTTTCTAAATTTTATCGCCACATCAGCGTTGTTTGTGCCATGTCGGGGCTGTAAAATGTCGCCCAGTACATTCAATCAGATATATTTCCGATACTTGAAGATCGTTAAGTACGACATTATTGTTGTGTGTGTGGGACTGTTATCACTTTTCGATATTTTTCTAGTTGGGTGGTTCCCATATTCCTACTTGAATAATTTCGAATCATTCAAGGATATGTTGCCTGCTTTTTAAATATGTCTTTTGACATATAATCTGTGATATACAGGCTTCATAACCTCTGATCCCCTTTCAAAATTCTATTTTATTTAATTCCGCCCACTTTGGAACCATACGCCGCTTTTCATTGAATGGCATGAAGTGTCACGATTTGAACGTTCCATGATTACTGCTGTATGAACACATCTGTGGATAATTTTGAATTCAAAATGTTACCATAACATTTTTAAATGTTGAATTCTGCTAAGGCCGGTGTTAGGGGGCGTGGACGGTAGTTTGCACTTGACAATACCGTCCATGATCAGGCTCAGTCAACTTGAGCCGGCAACATTTACAATTTTGCCGTTTTGGGCTTCCTTTAGGGATTCCTATTTTCTAATGTTTGTTCAACCAAACTTCTAAGACGTGATAAGTACCACAATTGTCGCTAGAGCTTAAATGTAAAAATATTGCCCGGTTTCCACCTGTCAAACTGCTGGTGGAACTAACTTCCCATGTGTGATCTGTACCATACCTTATTGTGCATGCTACTGGTATGCTCCTCTTTGCTCCAATATATATATTTTATTTAATGCGTTTATTTAAGGTCGCCGCCGGAAAGCCCATATGGGCGACCGTACACTCAAGTCGGGCCATCCTAGAGCGTCCCGCCGAGATTTTTTCGTCGATTTTTTTCCAGCTGTATTGGTGGAGGAAGACCCCAGGTGCCCCTCCGGGCATTATTTCAGGCACGAGCGGGCACCTGAGTAGAACCACCGACCTTCCGTAAGCCAGCTGGATGGCTTCCTCACATGAAAGATTTCGACCCGAGTGAGGATCGAACCTACAGCGGTGAGGGACCTGTGATCTCAAGTCAGCGACCTTAACCACTCGGCCACGGAGGCCCCTTGCTCCAATAAATGGCTCCCAGAGCTAAAAATGGAAAGGCCAAACGACTGGTGGGATATCAATAAAACTTCACAGAATTAATCAGTGTCAACCCTAGTTGTGCATATCGCCAGCATGTTCCGCTTCTTTTAACCAAATGGCCACCAGAGCTATAAAAAATTGTCCGGCTTTCAAAGGTCGCGTGATTTCGACATTACTTCATAGCAGTGATCACTACCATACCATGTTTTGCATGTTGCCGGCACTTTCTGTTTTGCTGCAGAAACTGGCTACCAAAGCTATAAATAAAAGAAACTTACCCGGGTTTCACAGGTCTAATTCATTTCAACGAAACTTTACATGAGTGATCAGTACCATACTTAGTTTAGCATATTTCTGACACATTGCAGAATAATTACCGTCTTACATCATCAAAATGTCCAACATCTAACATCATCCGAATGTCCAACATCTAAGATAATCCGAAAATCCACCATCAAACATCATCCAAAGAGCCATTATCTCACATCATCCAATAATTCCCAAATTATCATAATACCCACCAGCTAAGATAGTCGAAATATCCACAGTTTTCAATCATCTAACCATCCATCTAATGTCTACCATCTATTGTCATCCAAATATCCAACAGCTATCATCATCATAACATCAGCTAACATTCATCATCTAACATAGTCTAAATAGCCATTACCCCATCAAAATATTAATATCTAACATCATGTAAATACCTAACATCTTACTTCATTCAAGTATCCATATAAAATCCACATCATCAACATGTCCAGACTCTTTTACCATTCAAATATTCAGCACCTAACATAATTCAAATATTCACCATATAACATCATCCAAAACTTTTTTTCATCTTACATCATCCAAATAGCCACCACTAAACTGAGTCGAAAAATCAGCCATTTTTACATCAGTTAATGTGCACAATCTAACATCATCCAAATATTTTACATCTAACATCACCCAATATTGATCATCTAATATCATCTAAATAACAATTATCTGCCATCTAACATTATCCAGACATATTAAATCATCCAAATATCCAATATTAACATCCTCTGAATATCCATTATCTCATCTCACATCACAAACATACCCAGAATCGTACATCATTCAAATATCCAGTATCTAACATTATCCAAATTTTCACGATCTTGCATCATCCAAAACTCCACTATCTCACATCTTTCAAATATCCACCAATTTTCATTATTAAAATAGCTATAAATATTTTCACAATTTCAAAACATCAACCATCTAACGTAATCGAAATATCCACCATTTAACATCGCCCAAATACCAACCTTCTACTATAATAAGCTAAATATTCACCGTTTTACTTCATCCAAATGTCCACCATATAACATCAACCAAATATCAACCATTTTACTTCGTCAAAATATATACTTTTTGACATCATCCAAATATAGTGACCATCTTATATTACAAAAAATATTTCTCACCTAGAATCATCCAAATCGTTGGCTTAATTCTACAAACCCTTATAGAATTGATATCAAACATAAAATTATAAAAGCAGCCAAAAATTCATCATCTTACTTCGTCGAAATTATAACCACTATTATTTGATCTGAGTATTTTCTATAATATTTTCAACAAAGTAGCTGATACTAGTTATGTTTAAAGTATAACCAAAAATAATCTTAAAAACATTGTACATTTCTGATGTTTATAAGTCTATTATCCAATATTTTAAGATATCTGTTATTTTTATTTTTCTACAGATGATACTATAACAAAGATCTGACAAAAAAAGAAGACGAATATGGCACAGAGGTCAGAAAACCGTGCTAATTTATTTCGCTTACAAATACTTATTACGGATGGAGGCCTCCTTGTTTTGAGAAATGTAGTTGATCAGAAACTTACTGCTCAAGGTATAACTTTTAGTGCATGTTTGCAACACGAAAGGACAATAATTACACGTTTAAAAAGCCGAGGCGTTATAACACCTGATCAATATAACACATTGTTTCCAATCAGTGGTCAAATCCCAACTACGTCAGATTTGGACATTGTTCTTATTATTCTTCTACTAAGATGCGTGAGTTGTTTTGGTTTGAATAAAACATTTGCCTGGAATGCAAGACCTTCACCAGCCGATGTAACACTCGAGGCAGATATATGGCGGTTAAAAGATTATCCAAATCAGTGGTCAAAGTCCCACTACGTCAGATTTGACATTGTCTTATTTTTTCTAATACAGATGCGTGAAGTTGTTTTGGTGAATAAACTTATGACTGAATCAAGACCTCAAACAGCCGATGTAACACTCAGAGATAAAGGCCAGGTTCAAAATTATTCTGTTAAGTGAATTAGGTAGCCCAAACAATTATGAAAATCTTTTTTTTGCAAACATTCCAAAAAGTATTTTGACATAACTAGACATTAGAACCGGAAAATATCCTGACCAAATCAGTTTTCCCTAGCATTGATGGAAATCAGAAGACACTTTAGATATTTTAAATTTCTGTTTAGTTAACATTTGCACCGGGCAGAGCGCCTTCAAAATAACATCAAATACTCGTTTCCCGTACTCGTGAAAACTAATATTTTTCCAACTGGATATTACAGCTTACCAATTCAATGGTTTAATTTACTTCGTAACTGCAAATTTATCTTGAAAATTGTTGATTTGGAAAACGTAATACTGATAACTACTTTTCTTTACTTTATTTTGAAGATCATTAATGAAAAAGTTGAATGTAAAAATCTTTAGATTGTATACAGACAGTCAAATAGGCTAGGACAAAAAAAATCCCAGTCCGAACGAAATTGAAGCTGCCAGGTCCGTCAGACCGGCACTTTTTGGAATGTCTGTATTTCCTATTGATTTCATGTGTTGTACTCTTATGATTAATGGACATCATTTATATGAAGTGCATTTTACTAAAAGTGTTATAGCAGTAAAATTGACAATACTTTTTGTCTACACGAAAGCTGTAATACCAACAAGTTAAGTGCGCACAACATTGCATTATTTTCAAAATTAATTTTCTTTGTCTTTTTTTCTTGTTTTCTTACCCAAGCTTGCTCAGGGCGAGCTTTTAGGATCATTGTATGTCCGTCATCCATCCACATTTAGTTCGTTAAAGCGTAAGTGGTCACATTTTTGCCTCGATCATTTTCAAACTTGGTCATGATGCTTGTTAAGGTAATTGCTCATAGGTCACCTAAGAAGAACAACTATGTCACAGGATCTAAAAATAGAAGAAAAATGTTAACAATATAGCGACTACAGTTTTGATTCAAATATCCAAAGGTTGTTTTGATGATTTCAAGGTCAAGTTCGAATATGAGTCATCGGGTTAAAACTTAGGTCACACAGCCCACATATGGAAAAACCTTGTTAAACTCTAGAGGGAATTGTTTTGATCCTAATATCCTGATAATTGGTCGGAAAGGTTGTATTGATACTTTCTAGGTGAAGTATGAATATTTGTTACCCAAGGTAAAAAAAACTAGATTACACAGTCCAATTATGGAAAAGAATTTTTTGTGGCTGCTTTTTCTATTCAAATATCATGGAATTGGTAGTTTTGTTGATTTCCAGGTCAACTTTGAATATGGGTCACCTTTGGTAAAAAAGTAAGGTAACACAGCGTTAATATTTAAAGATGTTGTTAACACGCTAGAGGTTATTGTTTTGATAAAAATACCCTGGAAATTGGTCAGAAAGGTTGTTTAGATGATTTCTAGGTCAAGTTCGAATATGGATCAGCTAGGTCACACAGCCTTAGTTAAATGGTTTTGAGTCTGCATAATCAGGTTAGCGATATAAAGGCAATCATGACAGTCTTGTTCTTGAATGTATTCTGTGAGTATTCATTTATTTTCTAAGCTTTGAGGAGACATATTGAGCACAATCAATGCTTACTATATGCAAAAGCTGGCAAGGGGAATGTTCACTAAAATGTTGGTAATTGAAATTCGATATTTCAGATAAGCCATAGAAGACACACAGATGGTATACCAGCAGATGAATATAATGCTTTGTGGAATGATATTGAGCAGGTAATAACAAAAGAGAATTGTTTTTATCTATCTGGACATTAACTCTCAACCACTTAAAGATTTATAATATATCTATTACGTTTTAAACTATGTATATTATGATTTCTTAGTGACACTGAAATGATTGACATTTTTTAAAGGAAGGACCAAACTAAATTGACAAGTAATAGAGAATGTTGCCTCCCCAATATAGTTTCCACATTCTTATATGTCTTACATGCCTCTATATAGTTAAAACGTTTAAAGAAAATCAACCGTGAAAATAATGAACTAAGACTTAAAGAAAGTAAATATATTCATAATTCAAGAAATAATTTACATGTTACATTTACAATAATTAACGCAGTAAGGAATAGATATGCATGCTCTGACTTATTCGTGGTAATTTTCGTCTTTGTGTTATATGTAATGATGAATTTAAAAAATATTTCTCCTTAAATTTTGCTTCGCTATTGTAGTGACATTTATTTAACATAACAATGAACTTGAAAATCAAGAAAATCAACCATGAAAAGAATGTACTAAGACTTACAGAAAGTAAAGATATTCATAATTCAAGAAAATAATTTACATGTTACATTTACAATAATTAACGACTCCTAGTGGCGTCATATAATAATAACAACGGGTATTGATTTATTTTTGACTTATTTCTAATCAGTGTTTTTCATTTAAAACACGATTCCCCACCCTTTTAATACATCATTTGTAAAACAACATAGGTAAGGGTAAATATCACATGTTCTCTTCGTTTCGCTTAGATAATAGTATTTATTCGATATCCATGTTAGTAAAATACATGTTTTTATACCACAGTTCTTTTATCAAACTAATGTTTTAAATGCATTTACGTAAAATGTACTGATCTTAGTTTAACATAACTAAAATTGAAATACATGTACACAATTTTTTAAGCTTATATTAAATCCTCATATTCTTTCTATGTATAAGAGTAATACTATGAAATGTTGATAAATGTAAATAATTATGCCCCTCTTGAAAAAAGTGGGGATATATTGTTTTTCATTTCTCTGTCGGTCGGTCTGATTATATCCTAAATAATGCTTAGGCTTAGGAATGCAAAATTGGTATGAGGATTGGTAATGACCAGTAGATGATCCCTTACTTTCGTTACTTTCGTTCAATAACTTGAAATTCCTTAGACTATTGGCTCTCAAACTCAGTAAGTGGATTGGTCTTTGCAGGTCTATTCGGCTTCAAGGGGGTTAAAAGTCAAGGTAGGTTGAGCATTAAATGACATTGATCGTCAATGTCAAAGTATTAAATTTTGGCTAAGTTGTCATAATATTATATTGTTATTGATGAACGAATTAAAGTTATATAAGAACAAACAACACTTGTGACCAAACAGACGTGCAATAGTTTAGATATGACTTTGACCTTTTAGTGACATTGACCGTTAAATGATTGAATTTTGATTACATTTTCAAAACTTTGTCAATTGCTCGCATGAGTTTGAACATGGGTCATCTCGGATGAAAAATTAGGTCACAGAAGCTAAGATAGAAAACTGCTGTTCCCACTCTAGTGGCTACTGTTTTGATCCAATTATCCTGGAAATTGGTCTGAAAGTTTGTTTTGACGATTGTAGATTAAGTTCGAATAAGGGTTATCCCGGCTCCAAAACTGGGTCACACCACCAAAATATGGAAAAACATTATCAACACTCTAGTGGTCAAATATTTGACTCAATCATCATCAAACGTGGTCAGGATGCTTGACTAGGTAATTGCACGGACGAATTCGAACATGGGTCATCTCGAATGAAATACGAGCTAAAAAATAGAAAAATCTTGTAAAAACTCTAGTGGATACTGTTCTCATCCAAATATCTTTGAAATTTGTCTGACAGTTTGCTTTGATGATTTCTGGAGCAAGTTTGAATATGAGTCATCTTGGGTTAAAAACTAGGTCTCATCACCCAAATATGGAAAAACCTTGTTAACTCTCTATAGGCCACATTTTCCTTCAATCATCATCAAACATGGTCAGGATGCTTGTCTAGGTAATTGCTCGGTCGAGTTTGTACATTGGTCATTTCGAATGGAAAACTAGTCACAGGAGCTAAAAAAAGAAAATATTGTAAACACTCTACTTGCTACTGTTTTGATTAAAACACTAAAAAATTTGCTTTGATGATTTCTAGGTCAAGTACAAATATGGATCACCTGGTGTCAAAAACTAGGGCACACCTAGGATATTGAAATATCCTGGTAAATGGTCTGTAAGTTTGTTTTGATGATTTCTATGTCAAGTTGAAATATGAGTCAATGGTTTCAAAATTTAGTTCACACTGCCAAAATATGGAAACACTTTGTCACATTTTTGTTTCAATTGTCATCAAACTGTATCAGGATGATAATGTCCAAGTAATTGCTCGGATGAGTTCGATTGTGTAGAACCATCTTGGCCATTTTGTTATATATTAAACGGATTGACTGCATATTATAGCAGACCATTTAACAGGATAACATCTCCATGTTTATTAATCTGTAATTGACCTTGGTTCTTCAATTTCATGCCCAATAAGGTTAAATAACTGAATTATCACTTTTTTGCTATAATTGAATGTATAATAGTAATAAGTAAGTAAGTAAAGTTTATTAAATGTTAATAAATGTTATTAATAAATTATCTTCATATTATGACAAAATAACCTTCAACAACTATGAACTGACCTTGACCTTAAGTTTTAAATGACCTTGACTGTCAAGATCTGGATTTTGGCAAATTGTCATAATTGTATCATTTATAGACGGATTTGATTTTTACTTAGAAAAAACAAGACTTGTCACCAAACAAACATACTGAATTGTTTAGATTGACTGTATTCTGCTTAAGCCGGTGCTAGGGGGCGTGGACGGTAGTTTGCACTTGACAGTACCGTCTTTGAACAGGCTCAATCAAACCAAGCCTGCAACAATTTTGCGGTGTTGGTCTTTCTTTCTCTTTTCAATTCTATCCATTTATAATTTATCAATAAATTATTTTCTTACTTGGGCAAAACAATCTTTTGGACAAGACATTTTAAAAGATTGAACTAAATTTGACCGTGAGCTTTAAATGCCCTTGACCGTTAATGCCAAAGTATTGAATTTTGGTAAAGTATTCAAACTTTGTCATTTAAGAATGGAAAGGATTCATACTTGGACAAAACGGCAAGTGTGACTAGACAAACTTTATAAAGTCTTTATTGTCTCTTATTATGGTTTTAAGTCGTAAATGACTTTTTATGTTTTCAAAAACAGGCCATCATTAATTTTTTGAAAATATAGTACCGTACTCATGAAAAAAGCTGTAACTGTATTTTACATTTTAGTACAGATCTGTAAATATCTAATATTGCGTTCAATAAATGCCGCCTTTCCATGTTGATCTTGTTTACCATATTTATAAAATTTAAAAAGGGAAAACCTATGATTTTCTTAAAAGATTTGTTTAAACTGTTGCATTGTTAGCTTTCAGAAAAAGTAAAAAAGGCAACAGTTGTCCTTAACCAGCGGTAGCTCTTGTTTTTATTTATTTCTTCATTCTTTGATACCATTGTTTTTATGAACACTAACTAATTACTAACAAACTTATTGATATTGACGAAGCGTGCATAAATAAAATCAAAGTTTAAGTTTCCTGTTTGATTTCTTTCCTTGATTTCTTTCTTAGATACTTCATCGACTTAGTCCTCCATCTTTGAAAATTCAGCAAACCATTGACGATATAAAAACTTGTTCTCTAGATCCAGAGAGGGAGAGAATGGTTAAAGAAGAAACAGAAAAGTTGGTTTACGAAAATTTAAGTAAGTGTTCGTCCACCACTACTGTTTTCTACAAATTGCATTAAACGCCAATGATTACAAATAATATTTCACCTATCAAACAGCTTATGATAAATCGTTTTGCAATTATCATACGTAGTTTCCAATATGGAGAATGCTGTACTTTTTAAAGTTTTGTTAAACTGTTCATACAAGTTAGTTTCATACGATTAGAAAACAGATTATGATATAATAAACAATAATTAGGACATACATTGGCTATATGTGTATCCATTATAGGTGAATATAGCGAAGTCGTCTCTGCAATGCAGACAGAAGTAGAAAAATACCAAATACACAAGGATGGTAAGTAAATATTGATATCATGCAGGAAGTGAAAATATATATTGCTGAACTTTATAACAAACATGAGTGCTAGTACATATAGGTGTACTTATATGTAAAGCAAGACGTGTAAGTGAATATTGATTTTATATAAAACATGTGTGTAAGTTCATATGGATGTACTTCTAATTCATGCAAGAAGTGTAAGTATTTACTGATGTACTTTATATACAACATAAATGTAAGTAAATATATAATGTACTTCTATATCATGTAAGAAGTGTAAGTAAATATTCTTTTACATTTATATAGTAAAAACAAATCTTTATGTTCTAAACTTGAGCTTATATATTAAGCAGAAAACATTGTGCAGAGAACCTTTTATGACTTTATTCAAATTACAGCATTTGGGTTAAAAATCGGCCCTGCACAGGAGGTCAAGGCTTTTTATACCCCCCTGGAAATATTATAATTGAACCGTTCGTTCGTCTGTCCATTAGTCCATCTGTTCGTACAATGTTAACCTAAAACGGCCAGTTAGATTTTTCATAGGTTTTACCTGTCCATTGGCTTTATAATTTACACAATTACTAATCAATACAAAGTTCATAAATTGGGCAAGTTTCATAACTATGGCTTCATTTTACTTTACCAATTTATTGTCTTTTTCATCACTTAGAAAATGATTACTGGTAAACCTAAACCGGCAAGTTGGATATATTTAAAGTTCTGTCTTTACTTATGGTTTTATTTTTGCCACACTGACTTACCAATTCAAAGTGCATGATATGGTACAGTTAAATAACTGTACTATCCATTTACCGAGTTATTTCACTTTTTATACGCCCGAAAGTATTTTGGCGTATAGTGTTATGCGCCCGATTGTCCATATGTCTGCCTCTCCGTAACTCAATTCTAATGTAAAGTCCCAATCCCAAATCTTAGTTATTTGGCATGTATCATTACATAGAAGAACCCTGCTATTGTTTCAGAAGTCATTTCACTGATTTTAAAGAATGGCTGTGCCCAGTGGGTTGGTGGGGGCATTGGTAGGTCTGGCACAGTTTTTATGTACACATATTTATTTAGTATACATGTTTTTTAAGTATTTTCCTCCAACATACAACATGCAGAGCATAGCCTTAAGCATGTATCATCGCTTAGATTAGAATTATCAGTTTTGTGATGAATGTTTGTATGAATATTGAGGTTAAATATAAAGAGAGGTAATCAAAAAGACGAACATTATTTTTAAGCATAGAATTTTGATTTTTTATTATATTTTAGGCATAACATTTTGAACTTCAAGTTAAATATTATTTATATGTTTCTTTGAAATTTTATCATTTAAAAAACAACATGATTGTTGTTTTCAGTCAGTATATATACTCCTTGACATTTATATGGAGATACATAAATATCACTCTGTGCTTCAAAGGTATGTGTTGTGACATGTCTGGGGTCTGTTCTCCACTGTCGAAAGCGTGACAAGAGCATAGCCAAATGTAGATGTTAATATTGATAAATTAAAATAACACATTATTTGGATAAATGTTACAAATGGGTATCCTCTCTGTTTTGTTTTTTTGTTTTTTGTTAAATATTTTTGATAACTTTAAATTTTATTTACTTAGAACAAATTTGCATTCGGGCGTTCATTGCCACGGTATGCGGTGCTCTTGTTATCACTTTGTATGGTTAACCTATTCTGGCAAGTTGAATTTATCTTTAATTTCTCCTTATTATTTAAGGGCACCGACATCAAGAAATTTTTTTTACACTTTTACTGGTGTATAAACCTTATTCTATTGACATTGTATAAACCTTATTCTATTGACATATGTCTTTTATATTTGTCGGGAACATAAATTGAGGTCTCCTCTTTTGGTAGAGTTAGGGGTTGTGTCAATGTCAACAGTGCTAAAAATAGATTTTTACACTTTGTCCCATTGTAAGCCTTTATTTATTAACGGATGTATTTCATATTTGGAAGGAGGAAAACTTGCATAGTATTCTTCCTTTTGATTGAGGTAGGGATCAGTGGGTAAAGGTCACCATTGCTAAAGTAGATTATACCCTTTTGCCCATACGGCCTTTCTTTATGGACACTTGTCTTTGATATTTGGTAGGAATATATGATGGTCTTCTTCCTCTGAATTGAGTTAGAAGTCAGCAGGTGAACGTTATGAGTGCCAAAAATTATACAGCCTTTATTAATATACTGACATTTCTATATTTTGAGGGAACATTCCTTGGAATGTCTATTGTTTCTGTCGGTAGGAGTCACAAGGTCAATGCCACTTGTACTGACAAACGATTGTTTACAGATTTGTATAAGGCCGTTGAATTTGTTCACCAAGATTTTATATTTACAAGGTCATAAGGTCATAAGGTCGTCCTTAAGTTTGGATTTATTTTTTGCGTCCCTGGATTCAAGGTCTTGCATTTATATATATTTAATAATAGCAATGACCTGCCATTTTATATTTTTTACAATTACAAAACGCCTTGACTATGTCAAGTAATTTAATTGTGTTAACGGTTTTTTTGGCATTTTTTTCTGTCCATAGCTGAGTGAATAGATAAACATTTTTTTTGAAATATTAATACTGACAAGAATCTGAGCCTGGGGCATTTGTGTTTAACAAACACGTTTTTTTGTGTTTTTCTTCAAATCATCACAAGTTATATTTTTCTTAGCTTATGAAAGGTTGACAGCGCTCATATTTGAATGCTTTTGTAAATGTTAACATGTAATGTAATTTAATTAAAAAATTAACAGCTGGGAGTTTGTCTAAGATCATGACCTCGAGCAAGACAAATGTTGCTTTTTCAGAGATACTCTGAAATGACTTGAGAACACTTAGAGGCATTATGATTCATCCATTATATGCCTTTTTCTCTTGTAAAGGAAGGTATTATAGCTTAGTTTAAATAATTTATTATAAATGGTCTCTTATGGTTTTAAATCCTAAAAGATTTTTTATGTTTACAAAAATAGGTCATGCTTAATTTATTGAAAATATAGTACCGTATTCATGAAAAAAGCTGTAACTGTATTTTGAAGTTTAGTACAGATATGCAAATGTCTAAATTTTATATAGATACTTTTACTTTCAATCAATTATTATGCAATAGCTTTTGTAAACATCTGACCTTTACCCCCTACTCACTAGACACTACTGCATTATAATGGCAAAGTTCATTTATATAGAAAAGTAAATCTACAAAGGACTTCTGTTACTAACATAAAGTGTCATTCTCAAATGCAATCTTGTTTTCATATATGGCCAGCTTAGTTACATACAGTCTTCTTAATTGTTCAAACTGTAAAGTATTCAACAAAAAAAGTGAATATATTTAAGATAAGTCTTTTTCACTTCATTTTCTTTTAATTAAAGATATTGCAAGCTTACTTAGACCGTCTTGAATTTCTTCACCAATACGTTAAGCTCTTTTCTTGACATACTTGGTAATAATTAAAACAAATTTCTACATTATTTCCGTTATTTGTTGTAGGAAGATGTTTAACAAGGTATCAAAAAGAATCTTTCAACTTTGATGGTCGATTAATACAACTAACAGAAATACAGACTGATGTGTTAGAAAAATCATTAAATGAGAAGGCTACAGGAGAGGGGGCTTTTGGTCAAGTATATCGTAGCAGTAAGTATATTTTCTCGTCCATATCACTGACTTTCAATGTTAAAGTGGTACGATGCAAGTTATTTACCCACCATATGTCTTTTGAATTGTCCATCCCGCTGTTGTGCGGAAAATATACTTGTATAAGCTTTCAAGTCTGATGAAAGAACGTCAGGTATGCCGGAAGCCCGTTTATTAGTCAGGCATTTACGGAATTCCGTATCTGTTCGATATCCATGTTCGTAAATATTTACGCACTTTATCAAGTCCTGTTTCCCTTGAATAGTTAGTTATGTGTACATGGATATACGGAACATTTCTGTTATAGAATATGTTCGATTTCGCAAATGACACATTTGTAGAGAATTCGAAGTCTCTATATTTGCAAAAAAACAAACAAAAAAAACCAAAAAAAACAAAAAAAAACAAAGAAAAAAAAAAAACAATCAGGAATATATGTGTACATGTTATGCAAGTTTTCTAAAAGAATGTTCCAAAGCTGGGTGTTTGTATAAAGTTCTTGACGTCTGGATAGAGAGATCTTTGCTTTTCAGATGCATCTATGGTATATGGACCGCCTCCGTGGTCGAGGGGTTAGAGTCGATGACTTCTAATCCAGGTACCTCTCTGGCGTGGGTTCGATCCCCGGGAGATGCTTTGGTAGTTTAGCGCGGAGGAAGGTAGTCTAGTACTGGTGTAACTCTCCAGGAACGATGGTTAGGAAACTACCCGCCTATATGACTGAAATATTGTTGGAAAAGGGCGTAAAATAAAAACAAACAAACAAACAAAGCATCTATGGTATGGTTTAAGCATATGATAAAGACATTATGATTTCACACTATGTATACCTTTTCTTTTGTAAAGCTGTAAAAAACGTGTATAAATTAGTGTAGATATTAAAGATTTTCTCTAATGATGGCTTGAAATCGTTAACATGTTTTTTATTTTTTTCAGAAACAGGTAATGGTTAACTGAAAAGAATGTATTTGTGACAATTAACGATAGCTTGATTTTTAAAGTTTATTACAGCTATGTAAATGGCTAATGTGCTATCAAGTAAGAATATGTTTATTACACTATGTTCTTTGTTCAAACAAACAAAAATAATCTGCTTCTGCACTACTATTTAGTGCTGTATAAATGCAGTGGCGCAGAAATGTTTTACAATTGCAATCTTTTTATCTTTATATAGATGATTCTGAAATATTTGGAATTCCCGTCGCGGTCAAAAAGATACAAACAACGGTCAGTGCACGAGTACAAAAACACGCCCGAATGGTAATCCTTCTTCTGTCTTGCAGATAAATTAGCCTTAGTTACAATTTTTGTGTCAAAAATTTTGATTTGAATTATGTGTTATCTTTGTTCAGAAATTAAGTATTTCATAGAGAATTGTATCAACAAAATTATTCAATTTATGTAAAAGAACACATTTTGTCTAATTACAATCGCTATCATTTTAGCTCTACATTTGTTTAACGCTTATGTTCTTCTTTTCATTTAAGGAAATGATGGCAAATAGACTCATGAATCCATTTATACTCCCGCTGATAGCTTTTGCTAAGAAGTCCAATGGGTAAGCTGCATTGAGAGCGTGTTTCTTTCTTAAGTTTTGATATGCTGATGTTATATTGATAAATCGACAAAACTAAACTTTCGTTGTGTGAAATTATTTAATAATCAAAGTTTTGCACCACAAAAAGATTCTTTATTGCAATTTAAATATTGATGTTTACACAAGGAAAAAAACTATTGCAGTACTTTATTTGTTCTTTGGTTGCAAATTTGTGGGCGCTTTTTATGAAAATATTACAGGGAATATGCAATTGTATTTGCTCTTGACATTAGCGCTTTGGAGTGGCGACGTTGCCAAGTGGTTACGATTGGTGGCTGCGTAGTTTCAAACCCTGTCGGGGGCACCATTTGGACAAGAAACTTTAACATACGTTGCTTAGTACTGGTTGGATTCGAGCTAAAATGAATTTGTATTAACTAATTGCATTTGCTAAATTTCAATGGGTCACAAAGTAACAAAATGTTATTGAACAAACATATAACCTCATGGACTGTTTTTAAATGGCAAAGCGATTTAAAACGTCATTGTGATTGATATTTAAATAACTCAAGCCCAAGCCAAATCATGGAAATGCCGTCAAAACTGGAACATCAATTTTACTCGTATATCAAGTATTGCGTAAACCTAGGAATAAAATGTCCACGCAGACGCATTACCTCCCTCAGAAAGCGAACAATAAAATATCGATCAACACCCTTGAACTTTTTCGGCGACACAAGGACTCAATGATGGTAGACAGAGAACCGGCTAATCATCAGTTTAAGGCAGTAAAGTGATGTTAGTTACGAATGCCGTAGAAGCTGATAGTCGGATAATTGTGCATGACATGTAAAATAATTACATAATCATTTTGTACAATTTGAGTCTCAGATATATGAATTCCAAACCAATGACTGCTGACCAAAAGAGATATAACAATTGAGGGCTTCATCGCGGTTTTATCGATCTCATGAGAATGGAGCTGATGCATTTTTATCACGGAAGGCGAATAATAGTTATACCACTTTGACCAAGAGACAATATACATTTGTTATTAACGTGATAGTGTTTGTTACTGAATTTTACTCGTACGACATGCTTATTTTAGTCTAGATGATTCGGCGAGATATTATTCAGATCAAACGAAATACAAAATTTCTGACTAAGAGAAGAACAAAGAGAGCAACAACCTACATTCGGCCAATTCTACCTGGTTCTATTTGCACCTACAATACTATGCTATAAGTGTGAAGGGTTTCCTATGAAATGAAACTTCCTCCTTACGCACTTGATCCTGCACCCATTGACATTGCATTGATATTTACTATTGGTTATATAACGATCCATTCACTAAAGAATTATGATCAAAATTAAACAGCATCATATATCATGTAGAGAGTACTTTGCACAATCTTATTAAATTCAGAATATTTTCCGCTTCATTACTCTTCGCTACCAACTAGCAAATGGTAGTGGAGCGGCAGTTATGATATGATTTTAATGAGATTGGTATTTTGCATGAATAGTTTCTAGATATACATGATATATGCTTGAATATGCATTCAAAATATGTTAAGTTGCAATATTTTGACACACGACGCAGGAAGCACCACTTAGTATCTTGTTGACGTTGTCGGTAATGCAATTTTGTATAAGTAAAGATGAATAGAAAATAATCGAAATACAAAACACATTCAATTAACATAAGTTATAGCATTTGACTAAATTGTCTCCGAACAACGCTAGTATAATCCCTTAAACTTGAAGTTAGGACAATCTTTACTGTACCAGGTGATGTCTTGTTCAACGTCGGCGATATTTCATACTAAAGAAACTCTCTCGTGTACTCTGCCAAATTTGAACTTTACTTTTATGTGCAAAAGGCTTGAGGTTGTTAAGGTTCTAAGTGTAAATACATAGTAATTGCACGAACGAAATAGGGCATATCATTTATGTCTATTGACACGTGCCTTGTCTTAAGAATAAAGCTCTCAACCTGTAGCACAGCGACCATGTCGAGAGTGTTTGTGACGTACCCTTTTCAACTATCCACTACCAGAAGAAATTGACTTTGTCGGCACTAATAAGTGTTTAAAATTGCGTACTGCCCAAGCTGGTGCTACGGGGTGTGAGGAATGTTGCACTTCATTATCCCTGTACAGTCTCAATCAAATCTGCGACTCCTTATGTAATTTTGTTGTGATTAATTCTTTGGAGGGATAACTTTGTTTCCAGATTTTGAAATATGTATATGCCACATTTTAAGCACGTCATGCCCAATTTTTACATATTTTATGATTTGATTTCCGTCCAAATTTCCTCCCGCACACAATATTCCAATGACACAATTCTTAACACAAGTCTTATAATAATGTTTCATGAAAAAGAACAAAGTGCATTTTATAGGTGTCTGTCTTTATATCCTGTCACATTTACAATGATTGCGGCCGTCAACATCCCTTTAAGAAAGCAAATGGTCATTCTTGGCAACCCATACCATTTACGTCGTTTCTTTATATTTTTGTACGTACTTGCCTGGCAGCTAGTTGTTGATGGTGGACGGCATTATCTGTTGCAGAGTCCCTCAGAAAGATACCAGCGAAATGTATATCGAATGCAATTAAACATCCTGCTGTATATTTTTGGAAGTCTTATAATAACCAACTAACTGAAAGAAAATATGAAAAAAAATAGGCTTTGAAACAACAGTGTGTTGAATATGGTTGTCTAAAATGTCTCACTTGGTGCACGATTTGCAAGCCTACAACTAATTTACTGTGTACAATTAGTATCAATAAAGTATGCTTGCTTACACACAAATTCATAGTATCGGTTAAAATGGTGGAATGTTAGGTGTATGAACTAGGTGTTTCGATTCATTTTTGTTCATGTGCATAAATGTATTTTAGTTTATAATATATATGAATATGTAAATAAGTGCAAATTCTATTTTTATTAATAAGTCTATTGTTCATCTAGAGAGACTTGGCTTATTACTCCCTATTGTGAAAACGGTGATCTCGAAAAAGCTATTAAAGAAGGTAAAGCAAGTGAAGATAAGATAAAAATCAATATGCAGATGACACGAGTAAGGATAGCGCTGCACATTGCATTAGCAATACAGTATATTCACACTGAAGTCCCAAATGTTAGGTATTTACCTTTTTTTATTTGTTTTATATCTTTTCGAGAGATAACATTTTACTACCTTTATGAGAGTTTATTATGTTACAGCAAGGTCTTTAGTTTTTGTCCCCTGTCTTTTCAAAGAAAAAAGGGGGATATAGAAATAGGCTCTGTCCATCAGCTGTCCGTCCGTGCGTACAAATCCAGATGTACTTGTTTGACGTGGAGAACAATGGGTAACGGTACCTTACTTTTGATCCTATTCCTGATAACAGGCAATGATTAAGATATTTTGTAAGACAATATGGTCATTTCGACTAAACGGTAAAAATTATCGTAAACGTTTACGACTGAAAATCGAAAGGCATCCGTTTAAACGTGTAACCGTGGGGCCTTAGTTATAGGGTATATTATTGTGTCCGGTCCATAATTTTTTCATAGATCAAAGGATTTGGAAAATACGTGGACAAATAGTCACATTAATAAGACAATGTGTCATGCACAAAACATGCATCCTTACCTCCAAGTTCAAAATCACATTTTGAGGTCAAAAATTAACACAGTCTCTTATAGGGTATATTTTATGTCAGGTTTAAAACTTCTTCATAGATCAATGGATATTGATAATACTTGGCACATATAGTCACAACAATAATATGATGTGTCATGCGCAACACCTGCACCCCTACCTCCAAGGTCAATGTCACACCTAGAGTTCAAAGATTAACATAGTCTGTTATAGGGTATATTTTGTGTCCGGTCTATTTCATCTTCAAAGATCAACGGATTTGTAAATACTTGGCACAAATGTTCACTAATGAGACGCTGTGTCTTGTGCAATAACCAGTCGCCTACACTACGGTCAAGGCAAAGATATTTTTAAAATAGTTTGATAACCACATAAATGTATTTCTATTGACACCTACGGTACATAGGAATTATTTCATTTATTTCATTATTAGATAAATTTATTCTTACATTTGCTGATCTAGCATTGATAAAAAATTGAACTAAAAGTCCTGATACATACCTCAATCTTTTGAAATAGCACAATTGTATGTTTCATATAATACTTCCATAAGACGGGGGACATTGTATTCTCTGTTACAAATTCTTGGGTTATCAAAACCTAACTCGACATGTCTTTTTAAAATGTTTTCTTAGATAATCAATGTATGCTTACTTTACATTTTACTTTTTGTCAAGAAAATCAATATTCAACGGACGCCGCTGACGTTTTAGACATAACATATTTTTGCAATACTTCATATTATTAATTTCCCTCCGTTTGCCCAATGTTTTTCACTCAAAGTCGGCTACAAACAGTGTAAAAAGGTTAGGTTACTTTTGTTAATTCTTTTCCGGAAATATTTCTGGAAATATTTTTCAAGACTTACAGATGTATGCCCCAACAAAGCGCATGTACGCACAATTTAAGATCATTTCTTTCACTCCGTTTGCCAATTGTATTTCACTCAAAGGTGGCTACAAGTACTAAAGACTAAAGCTTGAGGTTATTTCTGTAATAATTTCCAGTGCATCTCTCGAATTATGCATGAGTTTTTAGATTCTATCTTTTTAGTTTATTACCCCAGAGAAGCTTAATTTATGCACTTTTGATTTTCAAATGATGTGTGTTTTGTATTGCTATGTTTAGGGGTTCTATTCTTCACAAAGACATAGCATCTTCAAATATTGTGTTGGATAAAAATCTAAATGCACGTCTTATAGACTTCGGATTGGCCCGAGAAAAGAATGATCCATCACAAACCTACTCAGTAAAGGAAGGTTATATACATTCTCAAAAAGGCCATGGAGATTCCATTAAAGAAAGCGAAGATTATTATAAATTTGGAATAAGTAAGTTTTAAAGCATTCACAATATAGCCTTTGTTGATATATTGGTAATAATTAAGTCCTTAAAATGGTCAAAGAAAATGAAAATATATTAACACCTGGCCCTGTCCAATGCTTACAGATACGAAATATACTTTAAGATTGATTGATGAAACCGATCATGAACTGTAAAGTTTAAGCAATTGATCATTTGGTTTGATCTCAGATAGACATTACAGAAATGTTTGGTTTTTTATTAGCTCACCCGAGGACAATGTCCTCAAGGTGAGCATTTATGATGTCCAATTGTCCGTCGTTCATCGTCCGTGCGTGGGTGCGTCCGTCAACAAGTTCTTTAAACAACTGATCATCCTAAACCTTTTGGCCAAATGTGTTGAAACTTTACAGGGATGTCCCTTGCATAAAGCTCTACCAAAGTTGTTTAAAAAATTAAATTCCACAAAGAACTCTGGTTGCCATGGCAACCGAAAGTTTTTTTTAAATATTAAGTAAGTTTTCTTTTACAAATTCGAAAGAGCATGGGCTTAAATATTTAGCATGAAACTTTTTCTACTGCATGTGTACCAAGTGTGTTCAAATAAAAGCCTAAGAATCAAATTGGCCCCGACCCAGAGGTCATTTATTTTCCTTATATGTATATAGTAAAATCTTAAAAAAATCTGCTCATGACAATCAAAAACACTATAGATAAGATAATTGGCATGAAACATCTTCTACTATATGTCTACTAACTTCGTTCAAATAAATGCCCTATAGTCAAAATTGGCCCAACCGTAGGGGTCATTTGTTTTCCTTATATGTATATTGTAAAAACTAAAAAAATCCAAAAGAGCTCGAGCATAGAAATTTGGCATGATACATCTTTTAGTGGTTGTCTGCCAAGTTTGTTCAAATGAAAGCGCTAGGTTCAATATTGGTCCCACCCCATGGGGTCATTAATATCACTCATATATACATGTATAGTAGAATCCCTACTTAAGACCAACTCAGATTAAAGTCCACCCCGCTATCAATACCTTTTTTTTTAAAAAGAACATAATTTATAATTTTCTGTTCTTTATGTTAATGCTTTAGGTAAATGCTCCAGAGTTAGACAACCTAGGTTATCCACTTTTAAGACCACCAAATTCAGTCCAAATTCTTTGATTTATTCTTTATTTGAACTCGCTATTGAAACCACTGATTTTAAAGTAAACACTTTAACCATATGATATATTTGTTGTTATTTTCTGATTGAATGCTCTTAGGTATGACGTCTGATTTAAAAAAGTGTCAAAAACGTTACTATAAGGTTATTTTATGAAATAAGGTATGGAAGTAAATTTTAGAGTGACCACTTTGGTCTAGTCCCGAAGCTGGTTTTAATTTAGGGTTTTTACTTTATATAGTAAAAACATAAAAAACTATTGTGACAATCCAAAAGAGCTAGAGCTTGGATACTTGGCATAAAACATCTTCTAGTGGATGTCTACCAAGTTTGTTCAAATGAAAGCCCTAGGGTTAAAATTTGTCGGGCCACAGGGGTCATTGATTTACTGTATAGGTATATAGTACAAACTTTAAAAGTCTTGTGAAAATCCAGAAGAGGTAGAGCATATTTATTTGGCTTGAAACATGTTCAAGTGTATGTCTACCATGTTTGTTATAATAAAATTGGCCCGTCCAACGAGATTGAGGTAGACAGTTCAATCCCCAGCTAGGCCAAATGTTTGTCTGCCTTCTCTTTTTATGTCATCTTTTAATTAGTTCATACATTAGTTTATATATTTTTATTAAGTTACCTCTCACTTAGGCTGAACTTTTAATAAAATTGCTGCCATGTCTAAAATTAGAAGAAAAAACTACAAATTTACAACATCTAAACCATTTGTTCAATTTTGAAATAATTTTACACAAAGATTTCCTTGGTGACAGTGTACAAACATGAGTACTCAAGTGAGCGATCGAAGGCCCTCTGGGCCCTCTTGTTTGAATTCAATTCAAGTTGTCAAATGAGGTATTCATTGGAAATCTATTGCCAAAATGTTCTGTTCGGAATTCACATTTACAAAGTAACCGATGCTAAGTATTGTTTTTGATAAACAATAAGATGTTATCGTGAAAAACAAAACATAAACCAGTTATACATACTTCACCATTCTCCATCATGCAAAATTTGCATGGAAGTAGATTTAAATTAATTGTTTTGAATGGAACATGTGATTATTAACTGTTTTGTTATCTTTACACTTATTTGTTCTAAACATAATTATGTTTTATCTCTCTCAGTTATTTTAGAACTGTTGACAAGCCTTGGACCTTTAGGAGAAAACCGACTTTACTTAAAGAACATGAAAGAAGAACAGATAAGAGAAAAATTTGATGTAAGTTTAACAATGTGTTCCTTCCAGAAAGTGAGATGGTTTGACCCCCGGCGTTTCCTAAAGTATTTTACGTCAGAAGTTAGCCAAAATCATCTTTCTTGTTTCCGCGCCATGTCACGTAAATTCTGTTTTGTAGATCGTAAAATAAAAAAAAACAAAAAAAAACCAAAAAACATTAGTTTTATATGATAGAGGCTGCATGTTTATTTTGCATGTAATATTGAAACATTCTACAGAAATGCAATAATTTTCTTAAACAAATGCAATAATTTTCTATCCGCGCCGTCACGAGTAAAAATAAGACAGATTGTGCCTAGGAGTAAAATGCAAGTTGATCAAATTGTCTATTTATTAGCTCGGCAGAACCGAAGGTTTAGGGTGAGCTACTTTTGTCAAAGGGTGATGCTTCGGCGTCCGTCGTTCGTTGTCATGCGTCAACAATGGTCTTCTTCTCTGAAAATGATTGGCAGATTTACTTGAAATTTTGTCTTTAGCATCTTTGTGACAGTAAAACTTAAATTTGCTTATGTCATTTCAATTGGCCCCATTTGGATGATCACCAAACATTGTCTGTAGCATTATCAGGCTATCTTTTATCAAGTTTGCTCATATTAATTTGATTGGCCCAGTTTAAGCTTAAGCTTAAATGCCCCAATATATTTTAATTTCTTCTGAAAAAATATGTTGACAATACGTAAATTCATTCCTTTCAACTTCACAATTGGTCTTTTTGTTAAATGTTCAAAAATTAAATAAGGGTAATGTTTATATGTAGAAAATCTTTTTGATTTTGATATCATTTTATATTGGAGAATACGACCAAATTAAAAATTGAAAAAAGTAATTAGTAATGAAAAAAACTCTTGGGTAATGAAAGAATACATTGAACTATATTTTGATGTCTATCCTTATTGTGTTACTTGAAGAATTGATTTTGCTTTTGCTTTGATTACCAGTTACATGCAAATGAAACTTATTATTTATGGATCTGAATATTATAAAATTGTGTCGGAGGGTACGCAATGGACTTAAATTTAGAAACTTGCGATTATAATGTCTTTATATTAATATTTTATTGTTTATTTCTAAATAACAAAAATTTATCAGCCTACACAATGCACACCTCAATATCATTAAGAAAAAGATATCGACATGACAGCCTATTGAACTATTTACATTAATTTTTCTGAATTTTATGCGCAGAATAGTACCAACAAAAATAGTTAATCCTGATTTTAAGCAAAGCTAAAAAAAAGAGCATAAAGAAGGTATGCGTGCTCTTGAATGATCCACATAAGTAATTGAAACGATTTATAAGTATATATATATATATATATATATATATATATATATATATATATATATATATATATATATATATATATTTATATATAACTGTATGCTAGTATCATTTTTTCCAGACAGATGTTTGGGCCAATGAGGAAATAAGGGAAAAGCTATATGATTTATCCAAGAATTGTTTGAAGGAGTTTAAATGGACCATTGAAGATTTTGCAACAAATGTCATTGAACCATTACAAGTACATTTTTAACCATTTGTGTTTTTAACAGTTTTATGAAAGACCGTTTGTCATAAATATACTTACCTTTAAGAATTTGATGCAAAGTTTTGTTCAGACAGTCTGTCTATCATTATATAAAAAAGTATTCGTGTTCATTCCGTACTGACTTGTAGAGAAAATGTTTTTGGGTTGAAATTACATGTCTGCTCTGTTTCGATCGAAAAACTAACTTTTTAAAGCAGAAATATTAATTATTACATGTATAATGAGACGATGTGCATAATAAGGTTTTGGGTTTCCTAAGGCCAAAAGTATCCCTGGTACGGTTCAGGAATAACTTTACTTATATAGACACATGATAACACATTTATGTCCATATTGTGAAACTATAATTTCTGAAACTTAAATATTATTATCATGTTGCATTGCCCTATTTGCCTTTAAAAAATTACCTTTAAAAACTGATCTGAAACACATTCCCTTTAGAACAAACACACCTGAGATTTATAGTGTGAAACAACGATGCCTAGAGCTTAAGATATTTTAAATTAATAAAAAATAACACCAACAAACTGGTTTTAATCATGCCGTTCTGGTCGATTCTGGCCCTGCCCCGGTCGTCATTAAGTTTAAATAAATTGGTATAGGAAAGCTTATTTAATTCGTATTTTGTTGAAACTAAAATACTTAGAGCTCAGTTATTTAACAGTTAGCATTGCCTTGTTGGCCCCTACCAAAGCTTGTGTTGGGTCAATATTGGCACCGCAACTAGGGTCATTATTTATCGTCTTGTTTCAAACTAATTGTGTTAAATTACTAGTACTATGCAAAGATCTAAAATATGTATAAACTTCTATAGGAAAATGCTAGCTAGTATGTGTTGCTGTGTAAACCTAAAAAGCCTAGCAGTTAGATAATGTAGCATTATATGTAATATGTAGATTTCTACAAAAAATTGTATTAATCATGAATCTCATGTCAAAAAGTCACTTGACTAAGGTATTGGAAAACACATTTTACATTTTTGTCGATAGACACTATGCCTTTAAACATTAGGTACATATACTTGATCTTTATAAAAGTTTTATGATATTGCATTTTGTATAAATGCTTTCATCTTAGAGGTTATATAGTATCAAAGGAATAATTATAATTTTTCAGACAGGGTTCTTGATTGGGATTGGGTCTCTTCCCTAATTGGAAGATTCCTTTTGATTACTTAATATTAATAAACAACTCTACTTTCGGGCATATATTGCCCCCACCTTTCAATGTGTTATTGTCGTCAGTGCTGAAAAAATATTCTTTTGAAAACCCAACGAGCTAGTGTTTAGATACCAAACATGAAAGTGTACAAAGTTTGTTAAAATAAATCCCTGGGCTTAAAATTGGCCCCTCCCGGAGGGGGGGGTCATTGTTTTTCCCTATATGTGTATAGTAAAAACTTATAAAATCTTCTTTTAAAAATTCCATAGCGCTAGAGCTAAGATATTTATCATGAAACATCTTCTAATAGGTGTCTACCAAAATTGTTCATTCCAAATAAAAGCCCTTTGGTTTAAATTGTTCCTACCCCAGGGGCCTATATACAGATGAGTGATTTCAGGACAATAAATGACAACAGATGACACTGTTTGCTATATGCATGTCACTTTTAACATTAGGTTCACAGCAGACATGTTACTATATTCAATAATACCACATTCATAGCATAAAGATACACAATCGCATTTGCCAACGATTTCAATTACGTAGACGGATGGTTTTAGTTAAATTCAAGACGAGACGACTATTATTGTTTAATAATGATTCCATATGAAAAATGACATTACAATATATTTGAAAGGCTGTTTTATTTAATCAATATATAAAGCTTTAAAAGGATAAAACACAATTTTATATTGTACGAGGGTTGTCCCAAAATATCGTAGACAAAATCTGTTACTCAATCATTTATAACACTATAGAATAATCCAGCTAAAGAGAAGTCAATACACCTTCTATGCATGTCTATGCGAACTATAAACAAAATACCTCCAAAGTTGACCAAGTTATCGAAATTTAAAAAATGATACCTATACATACCCGGAGCACGCCGTCATGAACGTCATGACGTCATAAGTATTTTTTAATGTTTTTCAAAGTATTCTCCGTGTTTCTCGATGCACTTCCGGTGTCGAGCGACCCATTTATTATAAACGTTTTCAAAATAGTCCTGCTTCAATGTACTCAACACTCGTAGAGTTTCCTGGCGGAGTTCGCTGAAGTTTTCGAACCTTTGACCTCGTAATTGTGATTTTAAATAAGGAAACACTGCAAAGTCTAAGGGCGCTAAATCCGGACTGTATGGCTTATGAGAAAGTATCTGAAAAGTTTCTGAAAACCCACACAAAGTTAAAGCTGTATCTCCTAATATCTATGACAAGGTGCTTTATCTTGATAAAATGTAATGTTCTCCTTGTTGTCAATTAACGCTGGACGCTTCTTAGGAGATCACGTCTGATTACCTTATAATACATGAATTAAAGAAAATCGACCTTAATAAGTTTAATTAATATTAAGAATGTGATAATTCTTTAGATATTATTCTGATTTTGACGGAGAAATTTATCATTATTATAATCTATTAACTTAATAATCAAAAAGAATGTAAATTTAGGCCTACCTTTGAGTAGTATGCAGAATTCATTCTGGCCAAGTTGGGCAGCATGGCAGAGAAGAATCCCTTTTCTATCAATAAACACGATAAACATGTGTTTTCCCATGGATTTTGTAACTTTTGCCTTTTTCGGTGGCGGAGAAGCAGCTGTTTTCCACACACTTGATTGTCTTTTATCTTCCGGGTCATAGTAATGGAGCCAGGTTTCATCGACGCTTACAATTTTGCTAAGAAATTGTTGATCGACTTCATGTCGCCGCAGAAATTCGGTTGACAGTCGTACACGCGTTTCTTTTTCTTCATTGCTAAGCAAACGCGGTACCCATCTAGCACATACTCTTGACATGTTCAGGTTTTCGTGTAGTATGCGATGCACGGTTGATTTACTACATCCGCTTATCAATGCAACTTCCCGGATAGTCAGTCTCCGATCTTCCTTAATGGCGTCCGTAACTGACTGAATCAGCCGATCGTCAAATTCTCTGGGTCTCCCTGCATTTCCCCGCTGTTCTTCTGTCCATCCATCAACGAATCGTTTGTGCCATTTAAAGACAAGAGACCTTGACACAGACTTGTACTTATCAGTAGCTTGCAGTTGATGTAAAGTTTGAGTAGGAGTCATTTTCAACTGAACACAGTATTCAATGACATTGCGTTGCGCCGCATTTTCATCTGACGTCGCCATTTTGGGCATTTTCAAAATAGCACCGCTGTTACGTATTATTCTACAGATTTTATCTAAGTTACGTCACAATAACGTCTGTGTGTGATATGACGTCAAAATGAATGACGTCATTCCACATGAAGGTATTTCCCGTAATTATTATTATGCTAGAAGTTAAAGGCATGTTTTCAAGAAGCATGCTCTCAATACTGACAAATATTTTATCGTGCGCCGGGTAAGTTGTACCTTTAAAGTTAAAACTGTGATGAAAAGTGTTACTTAAAATATTGGCTTTTGATTCTATGTAGGTAAATTCACAAATGTCCAAGGAAGATATCTGGTAAATTTTATTAAGTTATGACGTCAGGATGATGAGATAATAAGGTTGTCTACGACATTTTGGGACAACCCTCGTATATATTGCAGCAATGCATATTATTTTACAATGAATTTAAATACTAGTTTTTGTTATAGAAAAATTTACGTTTATTTCAGGAAATTATTAGGGCAGAAGGAATTGATATATATGAAAATCAAGAAGAAGCATGTCATCATTGCGTCATAAATCCAATCGGTAAGTCTTTTAAAAGGGCTATTGTGCCTCAGAAACGATTTTGTTTCTTTAAAAAGGGCAAACATTAGTTAAATAAAGCCTAAATAAAATTATTTTAAAGGCATACTGTGCTTTTGTTTCTAACATGAGTTCAATAATGGTTTTCGAGCATGTTAGATGTTTATTACCGCATCCCCTCCCCGCAGAAGGGGGATATTGTTTTGATGTTGTCCGTTATTGCTCTGAATATTTATCATGTCATATCCAGTTGTTATGTTAGTAATAACAATAACCAGTACTCGGCGGGGGATATAAATTCAACGAATGTCCTTGTCATTTGTAGAAAGAGGCCGTAATATTTAATGTTTGATATTAAATTAGCAAAATTTCATCTAAGTAGTACTTTTGCTTCCATACAAAATACTAAATCACTGCTATTGAATGCGTATATAGCAACAAATTACAGAAGAGGGTAAAAGTAATTGGCTACTAGTTGAAGTTTGGAAACAGGAACCAAATTAAAACTTTTAGGAAATAAGAATAAACGCATTCCTGAAATAGCAGGCCTTTAACAAGCTAAATCTTATAGATCGGTACGTTCCAGTTACATATTGCATTGTTATAATGTTCCAAAATTACAATATCATGAATTCATTATACTGTACAGGTCTAAGTAAACCAAGTGACCCCAGGGTGAGACCAATTCAAATAACTTTTGTAGAGATGCATTTGCAATG